GCGCCGCCATTTTTACACACACACACACACACACACACACACACACACACACACACACACACACACACAGAGACACACACAAACACTGAGTAAAGATGCCACGGTGGAGACAGTGAAGTGAAGATAACTTGAGCTGACAGCTACGCCTGTTACTGTGAGTGCAATAAAACCTCCTCGAGGAAAAAGCCAATACTTTGTCAATACAGTTGCTTAACAACATGTAAACATGTAGAAAAGAGATATTTCAATCTACTCTGTCCGCAGTCTCTCAACCAGCGCCTCTGAAGGTGTGTTCACACCGGACCTGTTTTTTTTTTTCCGCAGTCGCTCAGTTTGCCCCTTTGATATCACTTCATCGCTCAATTGCAATCGCTCGTCAATGTGGCAGAAATCAACAGACTCGCTTTTTCGCTTTGATGACGTCATTGAAGCGATCAGGCAATTTCAGGGAGGGGAGGGGGGGTGCTTGACTGTCATGACATGTCAGCTTAATCCGTGTATCATTCGTTCATTCGTTTTTCAAAATTAAACCAAATATGAAAAAACAAAATAATGACTTGGTTTTTCACTATTTGTTTCCAGAACCAAAATGAAAAAACGGATAACGACTCGTTAACGACTACTGTCATTACCTGCATCTCTCTCTCTCTCTCTCTGTCTCATTGTGTCATATGGATTACTGTTAATTTATTATGCTGATCTGTTCTGTACGACATCTATTGCACGTCTGTCCGTCCTGGAAGAGGGATCCCTCCTCAGTTGCTCTTCCTGAGGTTTCTACCGTTTTTTTCCCCCGTTAAAGGGGTTTTTTTGGGGAGTTTTTCCTTATCCGCTGTGAGGGTCTTAAGGACAGAGGGATGTCGTATGCTGTAAAGCCCTGTGAGGCAAATTGTGATTTGTGATATTGGGCTTTATAAATAAAACTGAATTGAAAATTGAATTGAAGTTTTCCGATTTCCGATTTTCTGTTTAAATGGAAAATGGAAAAAATGGATAACGGGCCGGATTCGGGCCTTTCATGCACTTTCAATATTTTCATCTCTCCGGAAGCCAAGTTTTTTTCTTTTGCATGCACTGGTTTCTTGTCGGACCGGTCGGAGTGACAACTACATCCGGTTCATGGAAGCTAACACTTTGGCTAACAACCGCTGCGTGTGGAGGCTGCAAATTTGGAGAAATTGTTCAATATGAGGTAAGTTGTGCTAAGGTAACAATACGTGCCAGCTTACTGTTTGCTTCTACAGCTGACATATTGGAATAGATTTCATGTGGCGAGTAATTTTTACGTTATTTGAAGATTTATGTTTGTCGCAACTCACGAATTCACCACATTCAGCCATAATGGCAGCATAGAAATAATGCTGTATTTAGGTGGATTTCAGCACTCACATGCATTTTCTTTGGGAAATGCCACTCTAGTTAATTTCTATAAACATTATAAAAGTAGCATGCTGGGATATAAATGCATTGTTTGTACTTTTCCACAACACAGAACAAAATGAATGCATCAATGTTCTATGGGAAGCGACCAGGTGGACTTCAAACCAGGGTTCCACCAGTCGAAAGTGACGACAGCTGTCTTGACAGCAGGGATAGTGATGAAGACTACACTCCTACACCACGTCGGCACTATCCACGAAGCTACCGACGCCACTATTGCTGCCGGTTTCATCACCTGGTCAGGAGTGTAGTCTGTACGCAGCATGCACAGACCCCATGCACTGAGGCCCCCCTGCCTCGCCGCAGCGGTTGCGGGCTCGATCCCGGCCTGTGGCCCGTGTCATTCCCCTATTCTCTGTTTCCCCACTTCATGCTGTCCTAAAGCAACAGGCCAAATAGATAATCTTATTTAAAAAAAAAAACAGCAGTAATAATGCTATAATTTCGTGTAGAGTTTCAGCTTTTTGCGGTTTACACATGGCCATAGGTTTGTGAATGTAACCATGTGTACAAGATGTGTATATAATATAAAAATGTCTGCACTCTTATACAGTGATTTCTTTTTTCTACACCAGGTGATGAAAGCAGCAGCAGCTAGTACTGACAACAGGAGCAGCAGTGATGAAGACTCTGATGGAAATCACGATGCTCTTCCTAGCACCAGTGTTCTAAGAGAAAAGCTTGAGCTCTGTTTCACATCGGATTATAATAGTTGGTGTTATAGTCAGGACATTGAAAATAATTGTGTGGCATCAATAAAATCTACATACCTGAGATGGGAAATGTGTTTTAATATTTTTTTTTTTTTTTTTCTTTATATACCATTTTTTTCCCCATTTATTCCTGTTGTTGCTAATTTGTATCATACCTAAATGTATGTCTATTCTGTGTATACATCTATAACAATCTCCACTTAATCCCCCCCCCCCTCCCCCGGTGCACACGCTCCCACTGAGGAAACACTGGAGTTAAAAACTAAACTATGATAAATGACATAAATTATTAAGATGTAGGCCTAACATAAAATACTTTAGTGATTAAAGAAATTAAAACATATAGCCCACAGTAGATAGAAGTAGAACATGCTAAAAGTAAATACAATAATAGGCTAAATACTATCTAAGCAATAAATAGTGTCTAAACAATAATAAATTGTATATAAGTTATCTATTAGGCTACCATTCCACTCTGTAAATAGATTTTAAAATTTCAATATAATTTTAATATTATTTTTGCTTATTTCATTATTGTTATNTTTCAATATAATTTTAATATTATTTTTGCTTATTTCATTATTGTTATTATTGGTTTACTTTTTAGTAGTATTGTATTATCTGAGGATGACTCATTTTAGTAAGTATCTACAGTAAAAAAAAATAAATAAATAAAAAAAATAAATAAATAAATAAAAATCATTTTATACACGGGGCCAAAAAAACAACCTGATCTCACAGAAATACGTGAAATGACCACAACCTCTTAACACCGCATTCCGTGGTGGCAGCACGTAATGGGTTGAAATTACATGCCGGTACCACTGAAACAATGCCAATGCAAAGTCACTTAGGATCCATTGTCGTGGTGTCCACACGAATTCCCTGATTCAATAACGTCCTGTATACACACAAAAACACTAAAGTGTTCTTGCAAATATATTCCTCTGTTATAATTTCCCACCACCAATAATAATAATAATAACATGATAGTTCGGCTGTACTAGATATTTTGATATAGGCCTATTCAAATATTCAGTCCCAAAAACGCCGTTTCTACAGTACTAGCTAAATGATTTTTTTTTAACCATTTTTTTCCATTTATTCCTGTTGTTGCTAGTTTGTATCATACCTAAATGTATATCTATTCTATGTATACATTTATAACAGAGCTCCACTTAATTTAGTATCCCAGGCTACCATTCCACTCTGTAAATAGATTTTAAAATTTCAATATAATTAAATTATATAAATTATTTTTGCTTATTTCATTATTGTTATTATTGGTTTACTTTTTAGTAGTATTGTTTTATCTGAGGATGACTCATTTTAGTAACTATCTACAATAAAAAGAAAAAACAAGCAAAGAAACAAACAAAAATCAATTTATACACTGGGCCTTCAAAGTGCTCAACTTCACCTGGCATGGCTTTTGTCCAAAAAATGAAAAAATCTAAACTTTGTCGTAGAGCTAAACCAAATATATCATTGTAAAGGTCTCAACCTGGAGAGTGACATATGTCAGTATGAAGATTCTACATGGCTCCTGCTTTCAGCCATTCACCGTTGAACCTTGACCTCAGTGCATGTTTGTAGGCTTATAACTCAGCAAGGAAAGGGGGTACAGACATGGGACCAGCTGATATAGAGAGCTCTTGCCCTCAACTATCATGTGAGTGTAGTCAGCAACTGGGGGTGCTGTCAGATATGGGTAAAATATGGATAAAATTAATTTTCACCCATTTAGAAATTAGATATTTAAAATATGATTACACAAGTGTGTTTACCATCCCCTTAAAGTCCACAGTGTACTCTCAATTCAGTATTTACAACTTCCAAATCTAGGAAAAACACTTATTTTTTTTTAAAACTACAATTCCCTGGGACTTTGCCATGCAGTTTGATACATATCAGTAACATAGTTGTAGTTCTTCTGATTTGCAATGTAGGGTTCTAAATAGGGTTGTAAAAAGATATATATGCCCAATATATCTAATATCTAGTAAAGCCGAACTAGTTATTACACTGCACCTAGATGAACTATGTTTAGAAAAAGTAAATATGTCAGCTAATTTTCGATATTTTAGCTAATACGCTAGAAACGGCGTTTTTAGGACAGTAGGTTTGTTTGCGGCTTGTAAAATAGGGTCGTAAAAAGATAGATCTACTGAATATATCTAATATCTAGTAAAGCCGAACTAGTAATTACACTGCACCTTGATGAACTACTTTAAGAAATAAAGCAAGGATGTTGGCTAATTTTAGATATTTTAGATTGTACTCTTGAAATGGTTTTTTTGGGACGGTAGGTTTTTTGCAGCTTGTTGTAAAACAGAGTCGTAAAAAGATACATCTACTGAATATATCTAATATCTAGTAAAGCCAAACTAATAATGACACTGCATCTAGATGAACTATGTTAAGAAAAAGTAAGAATGATGGTTAATTTCAGATCATTTAGCTAGTACTGTAGAAATGGCGTTTTTGGGACTGAATATTTGAATAGGCCTAGATCAAATATCTAGTACAGCCGAACTATCATGTTATTATTATTATTATTATTATTGGTGGGAAATTATAACAGAGGAATATATTTGCAAGAACACTTTCGTGTTTTTGTATGTATACAGGACATTATTGAATCAGGGAATCCGTGTGGACACCACGACAATGGATTCTAAGTGACTTTACATTGGCATTGTTTCAGTGGTACCGGCACGTAATTTCAACCCATTACGTGCTGCCACCACGGAATGCGGTGTTAAGAGGTCGTGGTCATTGCACGTATTTCTGAGAGATCAGGTTGTTTTTTGGCCCAGTATATAAAATGATTTTTATTTGTTTGTTTTTTTTCTTTTTTTTTTTTTTTACTGTAGTTACTAAAATGAGTCATCCTCAGATAATACAATACTACTAAAAAGTAAACCAATAATAACAATAAGTAAGTGGAGATTGTTATAGATGTATACACAGAATAGACATACATTTAGGTATGATACAAATTAGCAACAACAGGAATAAATGGGGAAAAAAACAATGGTATATAAAAAAAAAAATAATAATAATATTAAAACACATTTCCCATCTCAGGTATGTAGATTTTATTGATGCCACACAATTATTTTCAATGTCCTGACTATAACACCAACTATTATAATCTTTTGTGAAACAGAGCTCAAGCTTTTCTCTTAGAACACTGGTGCTAGGAAGAGCATCGTGATTTCCATCAGAGTCTTCATCACTGCTGCTCCTGTTGTCAGTACTAGCTTCTGCTGCTTTCATCACCTGGTGTAGAAAAAAGAAATCACTGTATAAGAGTGCAGACATTTTTATATTATATACACATCTTGTACACATGGTTACATTCACAAACCTATGGCCATGTGTAAACCGCAAAAAGCTGAAACTCTACACGAAATTATAGCATTATTACTGCTGTTGGCCTGTTGCTTTAGGACAGCATGAAGTGGGGAAACAGAGAATAGGGGAATGACACGGGCCACAGGCCGGGATCGAGCCCGCGACCACTGCGGCGAGGCAGGGGGGCCTCAGTGCATGGGGTCTGTGCATGCTGCGTACAGACTACACTCCTGACCAGGTGATGAAACCGGCAGCAATAGTGGTGTTGGTAGCTTCGTGGATAGTGCCGACGTGGTGTAGGAGTGTAGTCTTCATCACTATCCCTGCTGTCAAGACAGCTGTCGTCACTTTCGACTGGTCGCTTCCCATAGAACATTGATGCATTCATTTTGTTCTGTGTTGTGGAAAAGTACAAACAATGCATTTATATCCCAGCATGCTACTTTTATAATGTTTATAGAAATTAACTAGAGTGGCATTTCCCAAAGAAAATGCATGTGAGTGCTGAAATCCACCTAAATACAGCATTATTTCTATGCTGCCATTATGGCTGAACGTGGCGAATTCGTGAGTCGCGACAACATAAATCTTCAAATAACGTAAAAATTACTCGCCACATGAAATCTATTCCAATATGTCAGCTGTAGAAGCAAACAGTAAGCTGGCACGTATTGTTACCTTAGCACAACTTACCTCATATTGAACAATTTCTCCAAATTTGCAGCCTCCACATGCAGCGGTTGTTAGCCAAAGTGTTAGCTTCCATGAACCGGATGTAGTTGTCACTCCGACCGGTCCGACAAGAAACCAGTGCTTGCAAAAGAAAAAAACTTGGCTTCCAGGGAGATGAAAATATTGAAAGTGCATGAAAGGCCCGAATCCGGCCCGTTTTTTCATTTTGGTTCTGGAACAAATACTGAAAAACCAAGTCATTATTTTGTTTTTTCATATTTGGTTTTATTTTGAAAAACGAATGAACGAATGATACACGGATTGAGCTTCATTAAAAGTATAGCTGCAAATTAAAAGCAACAATAGATGTAAAACACACAGAGACAATACATCTGTGATCAGTTCCCTAATTTAATTTTAACAATTTTTTTCAATCTTCTCCAATTTCTCATTTTATTTTATGGAAGTGATCAATGTAAGTGCACTTGTCCTAGAGCCTTCACGACGGTTTTTATAATGCAAATAACTCTGTTTAGATAAAACCTACAAGCTTCTCTTCCTATGACTTTTACTAAAAATGTGTCTTGTATGTTTTCTGAAGCCTTTAAGTTACAAAAATGAAACACACTACACTGAGCATTTATACCTCCTACCGCGGCAGAGTGCTGCTGAAAGTTATACATTTTGATACATACAGGTAGGCTATATACATATTGCAAAACTCCGTTTGATCACTTCCATAAAATAAAACGAGAAATTGGAGAAGATTGAAAAAAATTGTTAAAATTAAATTAGGGGACTGATCACAGATGCCGGGATTACGGCAGCCAATCAGCGTTGAGCTGCAAGTGACAGGACCCAGCGAAATACCGCTCCAGATGAGATTTCTCACCTCAAGCGACGAGCTCTGTCGCTCCGTCGTTGTTGCTCGGAGCCCGAGCAATTTTTCTCCCGGTATGTAAACTTGTCGCTAGCGAAAAAAAATAGGTCCGGTGTGAACACACCTTAACATTATGTTATAAAAAAGCACAGAGCGCTTTCCATCACCTGCACCTTTTATCTCTGACAGTAGCTCTATGTCATGTCATGTTCATGCTCAGGCAACAGCTTCTCTTTATATATTGCTCTGCAAGCTTGAAGAAGTATATCACCAAATGCAATGCATATTTTCAATAGCTGTATGACAATAGCAGAGTCGGCGATATATATGGGTGATGTGGGCTGCTGCCTAGTGTGCCATTCAGCCAAAATTGAGAGTCTATAAAGGTACCACCTCTAGTCCTGCAAAGCAGTTCACCTTAATGTGTTTACCAGTGATCATCACAGTCAGAACATGATATAGCGGGGGACTGCAACCTTTTCTATCAAAAGAGCCATTTATGGCAAAAAAAAAAATAAATAAATAAAATCTGTCTGGAGCCGAAAACATAATTGAGCCTTATAATGAGGGTAACACAGCCCAGTAAGTCTAAATGAGCCTATCAACATATCTTATAGGTCTAAATAAGTACATATAGGTAACTGATGAACAGTGTCCACTAATATTTTTACCACAAGGTGGCTACTCTGCAGTGGGCTGTTTATGATTATTTGGTACTCTTAACTTTGCAGCATTGGCGGTCGAGGCAAACAAATTTGTCAATGCACTATTGAATTCTCTGTTTTCCTCTAAGTCTTTTCATTTTTTGGATTTGTAATCTATAGCTAGCCTACTAGTGAGAGTCAAGACCAGCAACTGCTGCTGAGGTTCAGCAAAATTTAGAGGAAAAGGCGCGAGGCCAAAGATATATGACACATATTTTAGTTGAAGAAATCTTGAAAGTTTTTTTTTTCTAGGTGTATCGCTACACATTTTTACAATTGGGGTACGTAGTCATCACTTTAGGCCTAAAACAATGATAAATGAAATTTAATATGTTAAAAAATTACTGTATCTATACCATTTTCATACAATTTTTGTCACAGGGAGACACTAGAGAGGTCAAGGAGCCACATGTGGTTCCAGGGCTGCCTACCCCTTTCCTATATATTTATCAGTGTAAAAATATCGATCGGAAAATACTTCTGTTACTTTTCCAAAACCGTTGTGTATTTCTTGAATTCTCTAAAGCCCGTGACTCTGTCAAGAATTATCTGTTTTTTAACATGTAGTCGTTTTTGTGGTTTAATGTTTTCCAATACAAACAGTGGTATTAATTGAGCATAGCATTAGTTCAGGCAGGACATGATGTCAAGCTCAGCTCATATCCCAGCTACATCACCTGATCTCAAACAACCCAATCAACTGATGGATCAGCTGACTGATGGAAGGGAGTCAGCTAATAGATCACACGAATCCTTTCTATGCAACCAAGTGGCTAATCTCATTCAGTGCACCCCATTTTTAACTGCTTTGGCCTGCCTACCATTGCTGCTTCCTCTGCAATCCGCTTCGCAACCCGCCTCCACCCCAGCTCCTCCTTTCACATTGTGTCTGATTTATCAATGCCATTTCTGTTTGTCATTGATGCTGGCTCTGTTCTGTTCCTGGGGGGTCTTTGCTGCTGCTCTCCCTGCCTTAGACTTTCCATGTAGGCGCATGAAAAGGCAGCGAGGTTTGCTCTCTCTGCCTTAAGGCTTTCCTAGTAAGTGCGTGGAAGAGTGGAGAGGTGTGCTCTCTCCGCCTCAGGCTTTCCACATAGGCCCGCGGAAGAGCCTTTCTGCTTGGGCCCAAGGAAAGGCAGAGAGGCCCCAGAACAGAGACATACTGACAATTATAATACTACAAATGGAAATCATTATCAATCATTAGGTGTAACAGTGTGAAACTGAATGTGACATGGGACTTTACCTTACAAATAAACTGCACACGTCGTTCATTTATGCTGGCAACCTCAGTAATGATTCTCCATAAATCCGGTTTACTTGTTGGTCCTAGGCCAAAGAAAGAAAATAAAATTTGTTACCAAAAGAACTAAAGGAAACTCATCACACCATATCTTACCATATCATATACAACTCAACATTCAAGATTCACAGGTTCAGTAAGTCTTTTCACAAATGTAAATTGGGATTAAAATGTCTTTTTGTCATCACTTGTACTGGGAATAATCAATTGGGTGTAGCAGCCTGCATGCACAGTGAAAGTCTTCCTTCGCTGCTGCAAGCTTCATTTATGTCAGTGCTTTAAGTACTAACTGAGTGAAAGGAAGGTTTCAAGGACTCGTGTCTATCAGATAGAATAGATATTAAAAAGTAAATGAATCTAAATTCCTTTCATTGTGTTTGAACATCTTATTGTATTTGGTGGTCAAATCCTTGTACTTAGTGAAAGTAGTCTGAAGTGGCAGCCAGAACACTCACGGTCCTCTGGTGTTCTTTTGGTAGCGTTGCTACTCCAGTTGCTCCAGTAAACATGGCCCTTTTTCTCATTTTTGCAGCGCACCTGAGTGACATATACTGTGTCTGGCTGAAGGTTCTGGAGTCTGAAGGACTGTATGTCTGTGGCAGTGTCCGAAAGAGGTACCTAAAAGACATTAAATACATCCCTTGGATTGATTTTGTTATCTACCTATCAGAGAAGACTAACGGTAGACTTGTTTGAGTAGGTAGCCAGATGTACAAAATAACACAAAGACATGTACCTGCCTCAAGGAGAAAAGACACACAAATAAAGATAAACACTGACATTAAATATATGGTTCTTAAGATTTCAGTTCTGCTTGATGTTGCAACACCTGTGTTAACAGGTGGTAATAATACAGGTCCCATATTTAATGTGCATAACACATGTATCAACCACAGAGTCCAGAGTGATGCTGGTGAGTCTGCAAGGCTGTGCTGAAGCACAGTGGTGCCAAGGATGTGCAGTGTCGACTTTGGTGCAATTGGACCTGCAACATGTGTAATGTTGATAAACTCTGAATAAAGAACAGTGCTCTGCAGCTCTTTGCGACAGCAGTGGTAGAGTTTCAGGCCTCTTCAGGAAGTTGAGAATGTCTACCCCATGTAAGCAGGGATTCTCTGTTGCTTACTACGGTAAAGTTACATTCAACCACAGGTGAAGAAAGGGAGAGCAGAGATGTTAGGCTACATTTAAGAAAATTCAAACATTTCAAGCATTAGCAATGGAACTTTCAGAATGAATGCTTTTTTTTCCCGGATCCAAGGAAGCACAGGGTTGTGCAGAGCAAGCAGCATGTCATCCACACAGGGCCGGTGCCGCAGCTCACTGACTGCCATCAGAACTTATAACGCTAGTAACTACCGGCAAAATACTTCCCCTAATTAAATCCATTCTCTACTTTATAACTGCAGTGATTAAAGCAAGCAGAAAGTACGCCTGTTTGGAAATTAATACATCCACTTTGTGTATTTCACTGTGGTTTTTTTTAGCGTATTCCACTTTGTTTCTGTAAGAGTAGATGTGACGGATGTATTTTTCAGGAGCGGGTTTGGTGATTTGGGGGCCGCGGGCTATCGCAATCTTGCTGTACTTTTCACTCTCTTGAATTGGGAATGTTTATAGGCTGCAAGCAGTGGTAGAGGAGGTGCTCAAAACTTTTTTTCTGAAGTAAAACTTTTCACTATTAATAATAAAATTGTTCATACTACACAGTAAAAGTCCTGCATTTAAATTTTGATTTAAAGTGAAGACTGAAAGAGAGGAATTACCAGCACATTGTGCTTTGATTTACTCAACATCTGTTTCAGGTCGAGCTTCAATTCTAATACAGTGCTGGACAGTTAAATAAATAATAATGTGTTATATTTTATTGGTAATATTTTGTGAATAAAGTCTTCATCTACACTGTAACCAGTAACATGCATCTGTCAGGTAAATGTATGTTTCCCTCTGATGTAAAAGTACACAGTAAGTCATATATCATCAAACTGCCTATCTTTTAGATGCTTTGGGGGGCTTTTGTTTGTTATCTCACTGTACAATGCGTTTGAATAGTACTAATTTTAACATTTTCCATACCAAAACATCATTATAAATCTATGGCTGGTTGGGGCCCCAGTGTATTGTAGGACCCAGAGAAACGCGGTGTCGAGGGTGAGGTTGTTAGTTTAAGTGGTTCTGGGGAAAGCTGCAAGTAGCAATACCACAGGCCAAACACTTGGCCTGTTACAAACAGGCATGTTTTAAATGGGCATTACTGAGTGGTAGAAGGAGACAAACATACTTACATAAGTCCAATTTTGAGATCCATTCGGGCAATATCTTATTTGATATATTAATTTCACATATACTTTAAGAATAGGATGACTCCAGTTCATCAGAAGGGAGGTGGAAAAACCGTTCTCTGAAATGATTTTGACGTCTGATGGAGGGTTTGTTTTCACTGCAACAAAAAACACAATAAGCTGTCAAGAATATGTGAGATGGTGATCATCAATAATCAGCACATCACATTTCAGCAGAGCCAACATTGTAATG